ACTATAACCTGAAGAGCCTTACTTATCTCTTCCTTTCGCATCAACGTTATGGAAAACCATCATGAATTATGTGGTTAAAGGTGCAGTCACCTTTGTGTGAAGGTTAAAGATGCAGTCACTTTTGTGTGTAGGTTAAAGGTGCAGTCACTTTTGTGTGAAGTTTAAAGGTGCAGTCACTTTTATGTGAAGGTTAAAGGTGCAGTCACCTTTGTGTGTAGTTAAAGGTGCAGTCAATGTAAGAAAATTATCAATGTGCTTTATACCATATTATCAGTTCCAAAAATGTTTGTTCATTTTTCATAAAAATATATCATCCACTTTGCATTTCTATAACAAGTTGGCATTTCTGGCGCACGGTTCTATAGATAGAACACGAAATACTATCAGGTTCATGTAGGCCCTTGGACAGGTGTTACTGTACCCTGAAAGGGACACTTTGGTATTTGGCTTATTTGGGGGGATAAACGATAAAAAGTTCAACTATTTTAGAATCAAAGGGGGTTCTGATTAAATTTCTTCTCCAAACTAGTATTAGTTTTGATAAAATAGACTTTTGAAAATGAAAGCCAAATTAAAAGCAACACATGTCACGTTAATTACAACAATTTCGTTTTGTTTATTATTCTAACCTTTAAATTGTCCGTGTAACAATAATCAGCAGCCAAAAACGTTTATATACAGTTAAATTGTCATTAATGTATCATAAAATGAAAACTGCATAAATGAACATACCTCTTTACATTGCATGACAGTTTTCGAGCCGTTTTGTTACAAGTGTTCCGTTTTTGGTAGAAAAAGAAGAAAATCTACCGTATTGTTTGAAAAATGTGAATGAGATATTTTCAAAATAAAATGTTTTCAAATGAGTTATAGACATAATCATGTTTTTTCAATGAATAGATATATGAAGGAATATTTTCGAATGTTTGATCTTAAATAGATAAACAGACAAATCCAGAAACATGAGACTGTATCAGATGTATAACTTAAGTTTAGGCTTAAGGTAAGAGACTGTATACATTGAAAGACATCAATACTCATCACAGTTAAGGATATCTAGTCTGTAAGTCTTAAGTATACAATAATATTTGTTCATGCATACATGTATATTCATGTACAATGTATGAGATGAGAAAAATAATAAAATGACATCCGATGAAAACGTTTAATGCTACTTTTAAACTATGACGTGAAATTTAAATGGACTTTAGGCGATTCATGTTTAGTCATAATAACGGGAGAACCATGCTCCAGCTTCAATATGTAAATATAAGTTCCAGTCGGTCAGTCTTTTGGTGAAAACAGGTACAATGCCTCGAGACAGTTAAATCGTTTATAGGGAAACAGATGTTGTTATTGTATACGTATCTAGGCAAGTTTTTTCCTAAAAAAACGAAATCTTCCCGTCATTTTTATAACCACGATCGTCTTTGTAGAAGAAGTGCTCAATATTTACAGTTCCTATATCTAAAGTTCGATGGCCTCCAAGGCAGAAATGTAAGCCGTTGGGCGCGTTCGTTTCCAAATTATAAGTCAAAAGTATATTGGACTCCCGAGCAAAGAAAAAATTGAAATGTTGATTAGTTGTTAAATAGAAATATCATTAGTTGACAATATTTTTCAATTAGTACATCTCCATTTGAATAGAGAACAAGCTGATGATAGTAATTACATGCGTGACTGTCATGACCAGACCTAGTGTGTAATCTAGCTGATATTTATTGGCATCACTGTAGTGGTCAGACATCAGTTCCACTTTGCATCTACTAGTATACTAGGATCTATATGGTACAGCCATGTTCGATCTTAACATTACTTACCTTATATGCTCCCTCTAGTCGTAATGGCTCGTGTGACAGACTGTAAACCGACAACTCCCGTCGACGTATATACCCTATCAGACTTTGTACATTTTTTTATATTACGGGATGTTTACCTTGGGGTCGCTTTCAAGAACGATACAAGCTTCGAAAGGTCATTAACAAGAACGTATTGGCCTAGACGGATCAGGTCATACTAGATCATGTATTATCTAAATGTACTATAGAAATAGTTAAGGTTATATTTTAGAACATGCTGATAATCATATATCATAACAGCTACATCAAACAGGCAAGTATTATTAGATTGTACGTATGTCTCAAGGACAAGGAGGATGTCCGAGCGACGGTATAGGTGGTTTCCAAACTGCTTATTGCATTGGTTCTTACCAAACAATTATAATAGAGAAAAGTTATAAAAATGAAAAATCTTAAAGCAGACAATACAAGTTAAAAAGGTTTAAAATGGGGTTAAAAAAAACGTTTTATTTTGTTTCTTGTTTTGAGATCTTCCCCATCTCTTCCTACTATCGTTTCTAAGGAAGTGCCGACATTTTAGCTTGTCCTTGCTTAGGTACGTCCTCACGATTGCCCGGTTCTTTTCGATTTATAACATTTAGCTGTTACAGTGGAAGAGAGAATGTTTAAATAAAGACTGAGGTCCTAATCACTGATTACAGTTGAGGAGTCAGAGGTAAATTAGATATGTCCTATCAGAGCGAAGGGAAGTTATGTTTTCAATCTGGCGCACTTCCTTACCCACTACTACAGATCGGGACAGTAATGTCGTTATGACGACCCGAACACTTGTCACTTATTTCATTGGTGTAGAACGATATGCGTAAAATATGACGTAATGCTGCTCGCAATATTTTTATAGTTAGTTAGTTTATAGATAGTTAGTTTCCATTATATTTTACATACCTTGTAATTCATTTTTGGCATAATGCATCTATTACCTTGTTTTAAATGTGCAGTAACCTTTGTGTGTAGGTTAAACGTGCAGTCACTTTTGTGTGTAGGTTAAAGGTGCAGTCACTTTTGTGTGTAGGTTAAAGGTGCAGTAACCTTTGTGTGTAGGTTAAAGGTGCAGTCACCTTTCTGTATAGGTTAAAGGTGCAGTCACCTTTGTGTGTAGGTTAAAGGTGCAGTCACCTTTGTGTGTAGGTTAAAGGTGCAGTCACCTTTGTGTGTAGGTTAAAGGTGCAGTCACTTTTGTGTGTAGGTTAAAGGTGCAGTCACCTTTGTGTGTAGGTTAAAGGTGCAGTCACCTTTGTGTGAAGGTTAAAGATGCAGTCACCTTTGTGTGTAGGTTAAAGGTGCAGTCACTTTTGTGTGAAGTTTAAAGGTGCAGTCACTTTTATGTGAAGGTTAAAGGTGCAGTCACCTTTGTGTGTAGTTAAAGGTGCAGTCACTTTTGTGTGTAGGTTAAAGATGCAGTAACCTTTGTGTGTATGTTAAAGGTGCAGTCACCTTTGTGTGTAGGGTTAAAGGTGCAGTCTCCTTTATGTGTAGGTTAAAGGTGCAGTCAACTTTGTGTGTAGGTTAAAGATGCAGTCACTTTTGTGTGTAGGTTAAAGATGCAGTCACTTTTGTGTGTAGGTTAAAGGTGCAGTCAACTTTGTGTGTAGGTTAAAGGTGCAGTCAACTTTGTGTGAAGGTTAAAGATGCAGTCACTTTTGTGTGTAGGTTAAAGGTGCAGTCACCGTTGTGTGTAGGTTAAAGGTTGAGTCACCGTTGTGTGTAGGTTAAAGGTGCAGCAACCTTTGTGTGTAGGTTAAAGGTGCAGTCAACTTTGTGTGTAGGTTAAAGGTGCAGTCACCGTTGTGTGTAGGTTAAAGGTGCAGTCACGTTTGTGTGTAGGTTAAAGGTGCAGTCACCGTTGTGTGTAGATTAAAGGTTGAGTCGCCTTTGTGTGTAGGTTAAAGGTGCAGTAACCTTTGTGTGTAGGTTAAAGGTGCAGTCAACTTTTGTGAAGGTTAAAGATGCAGTCACTTTTGTGTGTAGGTTAAAGAAGCAGTCACTTTTGTGTGAAGGTTAAAGGTGCAGTCAACTTTGTATGAAGGTTAAAGATGCAGTCAT